TTATTAGAGTTTTGGTTAGTTCTCGGGGTAATAACGATGTGGTGTTTTAGTTGGATGGTTGATTTTTGTTTGGTGTTTGTGATTCGGGTTTATGGTGTGGTGTGTAAATTTATGGTTCTATAATATAAGTTTATGGTTCTATAATATAAGTTTATGGTTCTATAATATAAGTTTATGGCTCTTATAAATGTAAATTTATGGCCCTATAAATGTAAATTTATGGCCCTATAATATAAATTTATGGCCCTATAATATAAATTTATGGCTCTATAAATGTAAATTTATGGCCCTATAATATAAATTTATGGCTCTATAAATGTAAATTTATGGCCCTATAAATGTAAATTTATGGCCCTATAATATAAATTTATGGCCCTATAATATAAATTTATGGCTCTATAAATGTAAATTTATGGCCCTATAATATAAATTTATGGCCCTATAATATAAATTTATGGCCCTATAATGGTGCAGCTATATGTGCACCTGAACCCCAACCGCCGCAGATACATGGGGGGGGGGGGGGGGATGTACAATAGAGCATTTAGAGTATGCGCGTGAGAGCGGGGCGAAAGTATTATAGTTTTATAAGTCTAGAGTGTTTTCTTACTGACCGGGAATTTAAAGAAATAGTCGCCCAAGTGGAACCTGAACTCTCCCCCAAAAAATAAAAATCCACTAAATGTGCTCAAGCTGGAGATGCCGCGATCACGGACAAAAATGAGTGGAGACCAAGACGGTGCGGGTTGAGGCCTCTAAGAAGAGGGACGAATGTCCAGGCAATCGCAAGATATGGACGTGAGAGTGATAACCAGAGGCCTCTTAAAAAGCAATACATGGAAGCCGTGTCCAGGTATGAGCTTGAAGCTAGTAATAGTTAGTACTGAACGAAAGATGACGCGGATAGCGAGAACCCCTGTACAGTGGACCAATCTGAGTGGGGGGATGTGTGTATGGGGCAAATAGATGAATGCGCGATATACATAGGGAGGAAGTGAGCTAAATATGGGTTGATGACATGGCGCCTGTGGTTGGCCGGGGTGCGTTATTCGGGACTGGCTGTCCATATTAACATTTTCAGTGTTATGCTTTAGTATTTAAGCTACGACAACGTAGATGTGTGGCAAGGAGTAGTTTAATTAGAATTTCGGCTTTGGGGGCCGAAGTGTAAAGTTTTATTTGCCTCCTTGACTTAAGTGGGTGTACTCTCGGGAGGGTGTTTGTCGTCCACTTCTGTCTTACAAGGCCAGCGCTTTTCTTTTTAGCTACGAGAGTGGTGGAGTTTTTCTTTGTTGGAGAAGTGCGGTGGGGCGACTAGGATGGGGGCTTGGTTTTATGGGGGTGATTCGGGGGCTGATGGTGTAGATGAAGCTAGTTATTTTGTTTTCCAGGAGTCCGATTGTGGGTATGAGGATGAGGATGATGGCGAAGTAGAGCACGGAGGCGGTTTGGCCCATTAAGATGTATGTGGAGTTTACTGGTTGACCTCCGATTCATGTGAGTACGAAGAAGTCTAGGACGAGGGCCCAGAATAGGAGCTGAGACATGGGGCGTGTTGATATCGGTTGCTGTTTAGTTGTGTGTAAGAAGGGCATTAGAAGTAGGATTAGAATAGATGAAAACATGGCTAGTACTCCTCCTAGTTTGTTAGGGGTGGATCGTAGAATAGCGTAGGCGAATAAGAAGTACCATTCTGGTTTAATGTGTGTGGGGGTAATTATGGAGTTTGCTTGGGTAAAGTTTTCAGGGTCGCTTAATAAGGTTGGTAAATAGAGGGCGAGGGTGAGTAGTGCTGAGGCGGCTAGTGCTGCTCCAAGGGTGTCTTTTAGGGTATAGTAGGGGTGGAATGGGATTTTGTCAGTATTCGAGTTGACTCCTAGGGGGTTGAAGGATCCTCGTTCGTGTAGGAAGATTAGGTGGGTAACTAGTGAGGCTAATAGGGCAAAAGGGAGAATGAAGTGTAGGGCGGTGAAGCGTATGAGTGTTGCGTTGTCTACAGAGGGGCCGCCTCAGATTCAGGGTACAACAGTGCTTCCAACGTAGGGTGTGGCGGATAGTAGATTTGTAATTACGGTTGCTCCCCAGAACGATATTTGTCCTCACGGGAGGACGTAGCCTATGAATGCAGTGGCTATCAGGAGTAGGAGTATAATTACTCCGACATTTCACGTGCTCTCGTGAAGGTAGGATGCGTAGTATAGGCCTCGTCCGATGTGGAGGAAGATGAATATGAAGAAGAGAGAGGCCCCGTTTATGTGGAGGCCGCGAATAAGCCACCCGAACCAAACTTCACGGGAGGTGTAGGCGACAGATGAAAATGCTATGGTGTCACCCGATGAGAAGTGCATTATTAAGAAGACTCCTGTTAGGATCTGGATTAGAAGGGTTAGGCCTAGTAGTGATCCAAAGTTTCAACAAGCTGAGATGTTTGAGGGTGTTGGGAGGTCAATAAGGGTTTGGTTAATAAGTTTAATAAGTGGGTGGGATTTTCGTAGCTGGTGGGTCATGGGTTTTTATAGTTGAAGGACAACGGGGGCTTTTCAGGCCTCAGGTTTTGGTTGAAATCCAAATAAAAATGATGGAGATTACGTTGTTTTTTTGTTGTTTTATACTAGTATGTGCGATAATGGTAGCGGCAAGTTCAATGATCCACTTTGCTGTAGTGAGCTTGCTTTTTGTGGCTGTGTTCGGTAGTGGTTTGGTAGTAGTTGAGGGTGGAAGTTTTATGCCCCTGGTGGTATTATTAATTTATCTGGGGGGCTTACTGGTGGTATTTGCTTTTTGTGTGGGGTTCACTGATGATCCTTTTATAGGGTTTTGAGGGGTGGGGGTATCCAAGGGGGCTGTGTTTCTTTATTGAGTGGGGTTGTTGATCGGGATCTGTTGTGCGTGGGGGTATTTGTGAGGGGGGATGTGGATTAGTGTGGGAGAGCCTTGGAGTGAGGTTGTGGTCGGTGAGTCATTAGGGGTCAGTGAGATGTATTGTAATGGGTGAGTATTTGTTGTGGTGTGTGGATGAGCCCTGCTAATTGTATTATTCGTAATCACGGGGCTCATTCGTGGCCATCGGCGAGGGGCATTTCGTTCTTTTAGAACAGAAGGAAGAAGATAATTACGGCAATGGTTAGTAAAAAGGTTTTGAAGTACTGTTTCATTTTTCCTTTGTGATAGGGGGTAATAGTTTTGGCTAACAGGGTTTGAAGATAGGCTAATGTTTTTGGTCCGATAGTTTCGTATCATGTTTGGTCGGTCAGATGGGTAGATAGTTTCTGGCTTATGTAAAGGGCAGTGGTGGAGAAGAGATGGTGGAATAGGAGGTTGAAGTAGGCCAGTTTAGTTAGGAAGGGCAGTTGAGTGTCGTTGGTGGATGGGGGGAATTTGTTGGTGGCGTAGGTCAGGGCTATTGCGACTAGTAGGCCAGCTATTGTGATGGTGAGGGCTGCAAGTTTGATTGGGCCAGGCATGGTTAGTTGGGGGGTATTAGAGGGTAGTATGTGGGTTGAAATTAATAGCCCGGCTACAATGCTTCCGACAGCTAGACGTATGATGGGGTTTACAGTTTCTGGGTTTTCATTAATGGGGTTCATGGGTGTTAGGCGGTTGGTGTTTAGTAGGGTAAAATAAATCATGCGGAAGCTATAAACTGCAGTGAAGGAGGTGGCGAGTAGGACGAGGGTAAGGGCCCAGGCGCTAGTGTATGAGGTATTTAGCGATTCAATAATGGCGTCTTTGGAAAAAAATCCTGAGAGGAAGGGTATGCCGGTGAGAGCTAATGCTCCAATAGTCAAGCAAGAGGTGGTGATGGGTATTGCTTTTTTAAGGCCGCCCATCTTTCGAATATCTTGCTCGTTGTTAAGGCTATGGATAATTGACCCTGCGCACAGGAATAGTATTGCTTTAAAAAAGGCATGTGTTGAGATGTGTAGAAATGCAAGTTCGGGCTGTTTAAGTCCAATTGTGCTCATTATTAGTCCAAGTTGGCTTGAGGTTGAGAATGCAATAATCTTCTTCATATCATTTTGGGTGAGGGCGCAGGCAGCTGTGAGCAGGGAGGTTGCTGCTCCTAGGAGCAGGCAGGCTGTGGTTGCTGTTTGGCTGCTGTAGATGATGTGGGAGGTTCGGATTAATAAGAAAATGCCTGCTACTACTATGGTGCTTGAGTGGAGTAGGGCTGAGACTGGTGTGGGGCCCTCTATGGCTGCTGGGAGCCAGGGATGGAAGCCAAATTGGGCTGATTTTCCAGCTGCTGCTAGGACAAGGGCTATGGCTAGGATGAGTGAGTGGTCGGGGGATATGGGGACGTCTTGGGCGTCGAGGGTGAGGCTATTTAGGGCCATTCATGAAATGCTAGCGAGTATTCCGATATCTGCTAGGCGGTTGTAAATGATGGCCTGTAGGGCTGCCTTGTTAGAGTCCGCTCGGAAGGATCATCAGTTGATGAGCTTGAACGACAAGATGCCTACTCCCTCTCAGCCCACGAATAATATGAGTAAGTTGTTAGCGGAGATTAGAAGGATCATCATTAGAATAAAAATTAGGAGGTGGTTAAAGAAGCTGGTGATTTTGGGGTCTGAGTATATGTATGCTTTGGTGAACTCTATGATTGATCATGTGACGAATAAGGCTGTTGGGATAAAGAAGACTGAGAAGGTGTCAACTTTAAGGCCCAGGTGAACAGAGCAAGTTCCTACGTTGAGTCAGTGTCATTGGAATGAGAGAGCGGTTGTGTTGTTATAGACTAATAAGAGGAGGGGAGGGAGGCTTTGCAAGAATGCCAGTTTAGTTATTATACTTTTAAAGTCAGCCGGGTGGAGGGTTTTGGGGGCTGGGAGGGAGCAGGATAGTACGAGGATGAAGGGGGGTAGGGTGAATAGTGTAACAAATAGGGTTGATTGTTGCATGTGTTTTCACTTTGGGTTGCACCGAGATTGCCGGCCCCTAAGGCCAGAGGATGTACTGGTTACCTATGAAAACGGGGGGGGGTAAGGAAGGATTGGTTAGTATCCTGTTTTTAGGTTCACATTCTAATGTTTTGTTTAAACTATACTTACCCAGATATGGGGTCTATAATGAGAGGGCCAGGTGATTAATTCTGGGAGCGGGAGTTAGAGTTCCTGCGTGATCCTTCTCGTAGTGGGGTTCAATAGATCATGGGGTGGGTTGTTGGGGCTATTGGGGGAAGATGAGTTGGGGGTTGGCGATGAGAATAATCGATGGTAGTGAGTGAAGTAGTATTAGGAGGTGTTCTCGGGTTTGGGCAGGTGGGAGGAGGGTGGTGTGGGCGGGTAGTGTTCCTTGTTGGGTGGATGAGAATATGTGGAGGGTGTAGATTGCTGTAATGAATGAGCTTAGTCCAGTTAACAATAGTGTGATGTCTAGCCAGCTAAAAAGTGAGACAATAATAGTTAGTTCTCCTATGAGGTTAATTGTTGGGGGGAGAGCTATGTTCATTGCGCTAGCTAAAAATCATCAAGTTGTAAGGGCAGGTGTAGTGAGTTGTATACCTTGTATTGCCAGGAGTGTCCGAGTGTGAGTACGTTCATAGTTGAAATTTGCCAAGCAGAATAGCATGGAGGATGTCAGTCCGTGGGCTATTATTAGAAGTATTGAGGCTGCTGGGGCTAATTGATTCCGCGCAAGAATTGCAGCCGTTACTAGGGCTATGTGACTTACTGATGAGTAGGCAATTAAGGATTTTAGGTCAGTTTGTCGCAAACAGATAAGGCCAGTCATAAGGGCCCCTCAGAGCGCCAAGGTTAAAAAGGGGAGGTAGATAGTGTTTATTTGTTCGGTGAGTAAGTTTACTACTCGTAACAGGCCGTAGCCGCCAAGTTTTAGGAGTACTGCAGCTAGGATTATGGAGCCCGCAATGGGGGCTTCGACGTGAGCTTTGGGGAGTCACAGGTGGAGGCCGTAAAGGGGGATTTTTACTAGGAAGGCTAGGAGTATGGATAGTCATAGAAGTGTGTCTGTTCAGGAGAGGGGGTTTGCTATTGGAATTAGTTGTAGGGCGGGGAGAGATAAAGTCCCTTTTAGGTTGTAGGTTACCAAGGTGCTAATTATCAGCGGGATTGAGCTGGCGATAGTGTAAAACAAAAAATAAATACCTGCGTTTAGGCGGTCTGTTTGAGCCCCTCAGCGGGAGATGATTACAAGGGTGGGGATTAGGGTGGCTTCGAAGGAGATGTAGAATAGTATTAAGTCTAGGGCCATAAATGCCATAAGTAGAGCAAGTTGAAGTATTGCAAGGATTGTGATAAATATGTGATTTTGGGGGGCGGGGTTTTTGAATATAGAACTTTGGCTGGCTATAAGTATTAAGGGGAGAAGTCAGCAGGACAGAATTATTAAAGGGGTTGAGAATTGATCGCTACCTAGGGCCAGGCGGCTAGTGGCTATAAGAGTGTCAGATGGGTTGAGGATTAGGAGGGCTAGGGTCATTACGACAATCGAGTAGGCTGTTGGCGGCAACCAGGTAATTTTGTTTGGGAGGAGGTTGATTGTTGGGATCAGCATGGTTGTGGGAAGAAGAAGTTTTAGCATTGGAGGAGGTTTAGGTTTTTAAGGTTTGCTGTGTTATGTGTTCGAGCAGAGGCAACCAGTAGGGCCAGGCCGACGCCTGCTTCACAGGCAGAAAGGGTTAGAATTGTTAGTGGCAGGATGAATGAGGAGGTGTTTGAACTGAGCGCTGATATTGTCAAGGCCATGAAAATTGACAGTATCATACCCTCAAGACATAGTAGTGTTGAGAGTAGGTGTGTGTGGTGTATGATTAGGCCGATGGTGCAGATGACGAAGGAGTATAAAAATATGACGCTTATGGATGTGATTATATAGAACCGCGGGGTTAATCGTGATCTTCTAAGTCGAAGTTAGAGGTCTTATGTTAGACTAGTTCTTTGGGGGTTGGCTATTCTGCTCATTCTAGGCCGCCCTGGAGTCATTCGTATGTTAATCCGATGAATAAGAATAGGAAGATAATGATGGCCCATGTGGCGGTTTTTAGGGGGTTTAGGGCGTGGGTGGCTCATGTGAGTGGGAGCAGGATAGCGATTTCAAGATCGAAAAGTAGGAATAAGATGGCGATCATGAAAAATCGAATTGATAGGGGTAGGCGAGCAGAGCCGAGGGGGTCAAATCCGCACTCGTAGGGGGATAGTTTTTCTGAGTCAGGTAGTATTTCAGTTATTAGCAGGTTTATAGTGATTACGGCTGCGGCGGTGATGGAGGTTACTATGAATATGGTAAGAAGGTTGATTGCTTTTCCCCTTGTTGTGTGTTAGGGGTTTAGTGATTGGAAGTCACTTGTATTATTTATACTAGAAGAGCATGAACCTCATCAGTAGATTGAGATGTAAAGGAAGAGTCAGACGACATCTACAAAATGTCAATATCAGGCAGCGGCTTCGAACCCGAAGTGGTGGTTGGATGTGAAGTGATATTTTGTCTGTCGATATAGGCAGACTATGAGAAATGTTGAGCCAATAATAACATGGAGGCCGTGGAAGCCGGTTGCAACGAAGAATGTTGATCCGTAGGTGCTGTCTGCGATTGTAAAGGGGGCTTCGTAGTACTCTATGGCTTGAAGGGCGGTGAAGTATAGGCCAAGGAGTACGGTGAGTGTTAGGGCCTGAATTGCTTGTGTTCGGTTGGCTTCCATCAAGCTGTGGTGGGCCCAGGTTACTGTTACCCCAGAGGCAAGGAGGACAGCTGTGTTTAGGAGGGGAACTTCAAATGGGTCAAGGGTGGTAATTCCGACTGGGGGTCACTGTCCCCCTAGCTCAGGGGTGGGGGAAAGGCTTGAGTGATAAAATGCTCAGAAGAAGCCCAGGAAGAAGAAGACCTCTGATGTGATAAAAAGGATTATGCCGTAGCGTAGTCCTTTTTGTACTGCAGGTGTGTGGTGTCCTAGGTAGGTGCTTTCTCGGATAATGTCTCGTCATCATTGGAGTATTACTAATAGAGTGGTGATTAGGCCGAGCAATAGAATAAGGCTAGAGTCATAGTGGAATCAGAAGGTCAGGCCTGTTGTTAATAATATGGCGGCTATGGCCCCGGCGAGGGGTCAGGGGCTGGGGTGGACTATGTGAAAGGAGTGTGTTTGGTGTGACATTACGTGTTTTCTTGAAGGTATAGGGATAATAGGAGGACGAAGACGTAGGCTTGGATTATGGCCACAGCAAATTCTAGTAATAAGAGGAGAATCAGGACTGTCAAGGTCAATAGGCTAAGTGGGGGTATTATGGATCAGAGGTTTAATGTGGCGATTGAGATTAATTGAATTAGTAGGTGGCCCGCAGTTAGGTTTGCTGTTAGTCGGACACCTAGGGCGATTGGTCGAATTAGTAGGCTAATTGTCTCGATCAAGATTAGGCCCGGGATAAGGAGGGTGGGGGTCCCTCCTGGAAGAAGGTGGCCCAGGGAGGCCGTTGGGCGGGTCCGAAGCCCGATTAATACTGTTGCCAGCCATAGAGGAAGGCCGAGGGCTATGTTTATAGATAGTTGTGTTGTTGGGGTGAAGGTGTATGGAAGTAGGCCAAGCAGGTTAGTAAAGAGAAGGAGGATTAATAAGGAGATGAGGATTAAGGATTGTTTCCGCCCTGAGGGGCTGATAGGAAGCATGATTTGTTTTGTAGCTTTATTAATAAATCAAGATTTGATTGTTACTGTTGGGTGTGATAGTCATTGATTTTTAGGGTTTAAAAGGAGAATGGCAGTTATTAGTAGGGCCGGCATTAATAGGGAGATGCCTAGGAGGCTTGGGATTAGGAATTGATCAAACAGGTTTGTGTTCACGGTCAGGGTCATGTTTTAATGGTTGGGGGTTTGCGGGTAGTTGGGTCGTTTACAGGTGCGGGGGAGGTAATCTTGGGTTGAAGGAAGGCGATGAAGGAAATTCATGTGATTAGAAGGGTTGTTAGTCAAGGCTCTGGGTTTAGTTGGGGCATGGTCACTAAGGGGGAGAGGTCGGTGTTAATCCCCTAATTCTAACTTAAAAGGCTAGTGCTAACCATTTAGCTTCTTAGTGAGGAGGACATGCAGTCTTTTAGTCAGAGTTGGAAGTGGTTTAATGGGATAGTTTCTATGACAATGGGTATGAAGCTGTGGTTTGCCCCGCAGATTTCGGAGCATTGGCCGTAAAATACACCGGAATTGGCCAGTGTGAGTATGACCTGGTTTAGGCGCCCTGGACGTGCGTCTATTTTTGTTCCGATGGACGGGATGGCCCATGAGTGCAACACATCTTCGGCTGTAATTAGTACTCGGATGGTTGAGTTTGTTGGAGTAATCATGCAGTGGTCAACTTCTAGAAGACGGAAGTGGCCTAGAGGCAGGTCTTGTGTGGGTACTATGTAGGAGTCGAATTCTAGTGCAGAGAAATCGGTGTATTCATAGGATCAATATCATTGGTGTCCGGTTGCTTTAATAGTAAGGCAGGGGTTGTTGGTTTCGTCCATGAGGTAAAGGGTACGAAGTGATGGAAGGGCGACTGAGATGAGGACAATAGCGGGCAGGATAGTTCAGATTACTTCTACTTCTTGGACGTCTGAGGCGCTCGAGTGGTAGAGTTTGGGGAGGAGGAGGGCGGAAATTATGTAGAATACGAGGGAGCTGATTAGAAATAGGATTATCAGCGTGTGGTCGTGGAAATACAGTAATTCTTCTATCAGAGGGGATATTGCATCTTGGAATCCTAAGTGTATCGGGTTAGCTATAGAAGGGTATAGGATTTAGTGTCCTATTTTTTGCTCTTGACAAGAACAGGTAATACGAAGTATACTAATCCTTCTTTGAGGAGAATGGAGCATGGCGGTGTAGCGGCTGGCTTAGAAACCAGAGGTGGGGGTTCGATTCCCTCCGTTCTTGAGGCTGGGTGGTATGTTTTAAAGGAGGTTTGCACTAGGGCAAATACGGGCTCTTCATAGGTGTGATGGGATGGGGGGCAGTTGTTGAGCCATTCGATGTTGGTCGTTGTCATTTCGAGTGCTGTTACTTTTCGTTTGGATGAGAATGCTTCTCATACAATAAATATGAGCAGGACGACTGCGGTTATTGAGATTAGGGACCCAATAGATGATAATAGGTTTCAGAGGGTGTATGCGTCTGGGTAGTCCGAATAGCGTCGGGGTATCCCGGAGAGGCCTAGGAAGTGTTGTGGGAAGAAGGTAAAATTTACCCCCACAAATATAATTATAAATTGGATTTTTAGTTCATGTTGGGTGAAGGGTAAATCCCGTAAATAAGAGGGAATCAAGTGGGTGAATCCACTTATAATGGCGAAGACTGCCCCCATTGACAGTACGTAGTGGAAGTGGGCGACTACATAATAGGTGTCATGGAGAACAATATCTAGTGAGGAGTTAGCTAGGACGATGCCAGTGAGGCCCCCTACTGTGAACAAGAAGATGAAACCAAGTGCTCAGAGTATCGGGGCTTGTCAGTTGACAATGCCGCCGTAGATGGTGGCAAGTCAGCTAAATACTTTTACTCCGGTGGGGATAGCGATAACTATTGTGGCGGTGGTGAAGTATGCTCGGGTGTCGACGTCTATTCCGACTGTAAATATGTGGTGGGCCCAGACAATGAATCCTAGGAATCCGATAGAGAGTATGGCTCATGCCATTCCTATATAGCCGAATGGTTCCTTTTTGCCTGAGTAAAAGGCGACCACGTGGGAAATTATTCCGAATCCAGGGAGGATGAGGATGTATACTTCGGGGTGGCCAAAGAATCAGAAAAGGTGTTGGTATAGGATGGGGTCTCCTCCGCCCGCGGGGTCGAAGAAGGTTGTATTTAAGTTGCGATCTGTAAGGAGTATGGTGATTCCAGCAGCTAGTACTGGTAGGGATAGTAGAAGGAGCACGGCTGTAATTAGGACGGACCATACAAATAAGGGTGTTTGGTATTGGGATATTGCTGGGGGTTTTATGTTAATTGCTGTTGTAATGAAATTAATAGCACCAAGGATAGAGGATACTCCGGCGAGATGAAGAGAGAAGATTGTCAAATCTACGGACGGTCCGGCGTGGGCTAAATTTCCGGCGAGGGGCGGGTAGACAGTTCACCCTGTTCCGGCCCCCGCCTCGACGCAGGCGGAGGAGAGTAGAAGTATGAAGGATGGGGGGAGCAATCAAAAGCTTATGTTGTTTATTCGGGGGAATGCTATATCTGGGGCTCCGATTATCAGGGGTAGTAGTCAGTTTCCAAATCCGCCGATCATGATGGGTATTACTATGAAAAAGATTATAATAAAGGCATGGGCGGTGACAATTACGTTGTAGATTTGGTCGTCTCCTAGGAGGGGCCCTGGCTGGCTTAATTCTGTTCGAATAAGGAGGCTTAGTGCTGTTCCCACTATTCCGGCTCATGTTCCAAAGACGAAGTAAAGGGTGCCAATGTCTTTGTGGTTAGTAGAGAATAATCAACGGTGGGCGTTCACAGGTAAAGTGGCCGAGTGTTGATGGCGGTAGGCTGTAAATCTATTTACAGGGGTTTAATTCCCCTCTTTACTAGGCCTCATGGTGAAATTCATGGCGAATTGCAAATTCGTAGATGTACTTTAGGTAGTACTGAGGCTTGGAATAAACAGAAGCTCGTTAGTTGGAGCGTTTAGCTGTTAATTAAATATTTGTGGGATCAAAGCCCTCCTGTTTATTGAGGTTTTAGCTTAATTAAAGCTTTTGATTTGCATTCTGAAAATGTGGGATAGAGTCCCGCAAACCTTAAATCAAGAAATGGGGGTTTGTTTACTCCCATTTAGGGCTTTGAAGGCCCTCGGCTTGAAGTTTGAACCTAATTTCTTTTAGCTTTGGGGGTTTCTTGTTTGGTAATTGCTTTCATTAATGTGGCGGATAGCAGAAGGGTGGTGGCAGCCAGGACAAGGAGGTTAATGGTTAGGTTGCTTTGAGGGGTTAGTTTTCGTCAGAGGCGGGTTGTGTTTGTGGTATTTGGCGGTAGGGTCGATGAGGAGTTGTACCATAGCCGAAGATAGAAGAAAAGGCTTAAGAGGGAGGCCATGAGTATGAGGAGAGCGATTCAAGTTGCTTTTTCTGAGACAAGTTGATTAACGGTTAGCCATTTTGGCAGAAAGCCGGCCAGGGGTGGAAGGCCGGATAGCGAGAGAAGGGAGAGAGTTAGGAGGGTGGCTGCAGTCGGGGATTTTGAGAAGGAGGTAATGAGGTGTTTGGTGGAGGTTGTTGATATTTTATCTAGTGTGAGTAGTGTGGCGGAGACGGTAGTGGAATAGATATAAAAAGTCAGGATTGTCAGGGATGGGGCGTATTTAATGATTACAATAATTCATGCCATTTGGGCGATGGATGAGAATGCTATTAGTTTTCGTACTTGAGTTTGATTTAGTCCTATCCAACCTGCAATAAGAGAGGATAAGACGGCCACTATAAAGATTAGTTTAAGGCTGATGAGGTGGCTAATTAAGAAGAGTATAACTAGTGGGCCTAGCTTCTGCCATGTCAGTAGAAAGATTGCAGGAGCTGTGGGTATTCCTTGTAGGACTTCTGGTACTCAGAAGTGGAATGGCACTAGTCCCACTTTAATAAACAGGGCGAGGGTTAGCACAATTATTGAGGTTAAGTCCGTTAACTCTGCGATTTGGTAACTTCCTGTTATTTCATAGTTGAGCGCTCCTGAGAAGATGATTAGTGTGGAGGCTATCGCTTGTATTAAAAAGTATTTTGTAGAAGCTTCGATAGCTCGGGGGTGGGATTTATTAGCGATTAGGGGGAGGATTGCTAGTGTGCTAAGTTCTAGTGCGGCTCATATTAGTACAAGGTGGGTTGATAGTAGAAAGACGAGTGTTGTGGCGGTCAGGGTCGTTAAGATAATTGGCTGGGAGAGGGGCATGTGGTAGGAGTGAAGGGGGTTAGCCCTTATTTTTGGGGTATGGGCCCAATAGCTTTAATTAGCTTACACTTCTAGGGGGTACTATAAAGGAAGTAGGAAGGATTTTGATTCCTTTTGAGTAGGTTCGAACCCTACTCCTCTAGGATGCGAGGGGGTTCTAACCCCTGTTGTCTACTCTATCAAAGAGCCCTATTGCGATTCAGGCACGGTCCTATGTTGTTGGGGGCAGCCCAAATGTTGATATTGGAAGTGATGAGTGTCATAGGCAGAGGGCTAATGTTGTGGGTAGGAAGCTTTTTCATAAAAGGTGCATAAGCTGGTCATAGCGAAATCGGGGGTAGGATGCTCGGATTCATAGAAAGCTTATAGTTAGTAGAAGGGTTTTGCTTATTAGGGCGATGGTGAAGAGTATTGGGATGGAAGTGGGGGTAGATGGGTTTAAGAATAGGGTGACAGTCAGGGTGTTTATTAATATAATGTTGGCGTACTCGGCCAGGAAAAAGAGTGCGAAGGGGCTTGCGCCGTATTCAACGTTAAATCCGGATACTAGCTCTGACTCTCCCTCTGTTAGGTCGAATGGGGCCCGGTTTGTTTCTGCTAGTGTAGAGGTATACCATATTATTATCGATGGTCAGGTGGCTAAGTGCAGGTATAGGGGTTCTTGTGTGGTGGTGAGGGCATGTAGCGAAAATCCCCCAGTCAGTAAGACAATAGATAATACAATGATGGCCAGTGTTACTTCGTAGGAGATAGTTTGAGCAACTGCCCGAAGGGCACCTATTAAGGCATATTTTGAGTTTGAGGATCACCCGGATCATAATAATGAGTAGACCATGAGGCTTGATATGGCCAGTAGGAATAGTAGTCCTAGGTTAAGGTCTGCCAGGGGAAATGGCATGGGGAGGGGGGATCATATCGTAAGGGCTAGCATTAGGGCTGCTGCTGGGGATAGGATGAAGAGGGCTGGGGTTGCAAGTAGCGGGAGGGTTAGTTCTTTAATAACAAGTTTAAATCCGTCGGCGAGGGGTTGAAGTAGGCCAAGTGGGCCAACGATGTTTGGTCCTTTTCGTAGTTGCATGTAGCCAATAATTTTTCGTTCTAGGGCCGTTAAAAATGCAACCGCGATCAGGATGGAGATGATAAGTAGAGCGGGGGGCACGACGATGAGAAAGTCTATTACTGGGTAGAGAATTTGAATCTCTGAGTAAAGGGCTTAGGCCTTTTGCATTGAGCCAGGCTCTGCCAACCCAGCATGCTCTTGTTTCGAGGGGCAGGTTCATCCCGGTTGCTAGTTTAGTTGTCTACATTAGCTATGGGTAAGGCGTACTTTAGTGGCATGGGCCTTGTTTTTCCGGTCCTTTCGTACTAGGAAAAGGCGGGGTCATAGATAGAAACCGACCTGGATTGCTCCGGTCTGAACTCAGTATCACGTAGGACTTTAAACGTTGAACAAACGAACCATTATTAGCGGTTACACCAATGGGGTGTCCTGATCCAACATCGAGGTCGTAAACCCCCCTGTCGATAGGGGCTCTTGAAGGGGATTGCGCTGTTATCCCTGGAGTAGCTTGGTTCATGGATCGACGTTGTCGGATCTAATTACATTTAAGTACTTTGAGGTGTGGGGGTCTCAGTGGATACTGGCTACTTTGTTATAGCTTTCTTAAAAGTTTTTCTTTGTTTCAAGGTCACCCCAACCAAAAACGCTAAGTCACGGTCCAGGTAATTATGGGTGATTATTAGTTGTGTGTATGACTTAGCCGATTAAAGTTTCACAGGGTCTTCTCGTCTGGTGGGGCTATTCCTGCTTTTGCACAGGAAGATCAATTTCATTGGCTGCTTGCAGGAGACAGTTAGACTCTCGTTTAGCCGTTCATACTGGTCCTTATTTAAAGAACAAGTGATTACGCTACTCTTTGCACGGTTGTAGATACCGCGGCCATTTAACTAGTAGTCATTGGGCAGGCATCACCCCAAATACTAAGAGGGCTGGGGCTGTTTTTGGTAAACCAGTCGGAGTCTTTGTTGCCGAGTTCCTTTTGCAAAGGTTAAGCCTTTCCTGTGCGCGCCTGTGTCGGGGTCAACCAGACGGGAAGGGGTTCCCCTTTTATTTGAGCAGCAGGAGTGTGGGGGAAAGTGTGATGATTTATAGGGGGTCATGAAGAATGTAGGCTGGCGCAAGGAGAAAGTCGTTTTCTTATTACTCATTTTAGCATAGTCTTTTTTAATATTATAAGGTGGCTTGGTTGTGGTGTAGGGTTCAGTTTGTTGTTGGTATTTTTAGGGGTTTAGCTTTGACGCTTTTTTGTGATGGCTGCTTTAAGGCCCACGGTGTGAGAATAAGACAGATTACCCTTAGGTAGAGGTTGAGTCCTGTGTTAATAGGGCTGTACCCCTATTAAGTAGCTTGAAAACTTTTCCTTGCCCGTTGTTGCGGGAGTAGGAGAGTTTGCAGTAGAACTAAAATTCGTTTCCCAAGCAGCCAGCTATTACTGGGTTCGGTAGGCTTTTCACCACTACTAAGCAGTCTTCCCACTCTTTTGCCACAGAGAGGGGTTTGCTCAAGTTTAGCGGCTGATTAGTAGCTCACTCAGTTTCGGGGTAGGTGACTTAAATTCTTTTTGCCACTTGTGGTTTGCTAAACCATAATGCGAAAGGTAAAAGGGCTGGTCTTTGCTGTGTTTTACTTGTGTTTTATCTTTGTTTCATCTTTCCCTTGCGGTACTTTCTCTGTCGCGCCTCTAGGCCTTTCTTTCACCAATACTGGGGTGTTATAAATGTTTTAGTTCAAACTTGTCAGGTATGGGGGGGGGGGGTGGGCTAATGTGGGTGTCAGAATGGTTCGGTGGTGAACATTTTCAGGTGTAAGCTGAAAGCTTTATTTAAGCTACATCTTGATGTTCCAAAGCGCACCTTCCGGTACGCTTACCTTGTTACGACCTTACCTCATCTCATCCTATGTTGTACTCGTTGCCGGGGCGCGTGTACTACTATCGGGCTTGAAGAGGGTGACGGGCGGTGTGTACGCACTTCGTGGCCTACTTCAATTAGGCTCTCTTTTCCTAGTTTACTGCTAGATCCTGCTTTGACAGCCCTGGTTTCACAGGGCTCTCCGTTGCATATTTCTATGTGTTAGAAAATGTAGCTCATCTCTTCCACCTCATTGGCTGCACCTTGACCTGACGTGCTAGCCTGGGAGGCTATTGTGCTCGTTTTGTCTCCCTCAGGGGGACGGGCTTGGCGACGGCGGTATACAGGCTGAGGGGCTAGAGGTGGTCGGGTGAATCGTGTACCGTCGATTATAGGACAGGCTCCTCTAGGTGGGTTCGAAGCGCCGTCAAGTCCTTTGAGTTTTAAGCGTGGCTCGTAATTCTCTGGCGGGCGTGATATGTTTGGGGCACAGCCTTTGTTAAGGGCTGAGCATAGTGGGGTATCTGATCCCAGTTTGTTTCTCAACTTTCGTGAGGTAGGATATGTCTTGGTGATTAAGGTCATTTTTATGTTGATGTTTGTGGCACTGTAAAGCTTATCACTGCTACGAGGCTATATCCACCTTAATTGTATAGGATAAGATCCTAGTCACAATTTACGCCGTTGGTTTGTTAACTTGGGGCCTTTGTTAAGCCGCGGTTGCTGGCACGAAGGTTGACCGCCCCTGTTTTACTCTGACTAAATCGAGCTTTCGCTTATGGTTTAAAGTTGGTTACTGCTGTGGCCCTTGGGGGTGTGGCTGGGCTAGACGTCGTGGGCTATGTGGTTGATGTGCCTGATGTCGGCTCCATTTATCTATTAGATTTGTAGGGTGTTCTCACTGGTTCGTGGATGCTTGCATGTATAGGTTAAGTGGTAGTTAATAAGAAGACCGGGACTAAGTCTTTATTG